ATATATACATACATACATACATACATACACACATACACACATACACACATACACATACACACATACACACATACACACATACACACATACACACATACACATACACATACACACACACACACACACACACACACATACACACCCCCTTGTCATACGAGCATAGTCTTTGCCACGAAACTACAAAGTAGCGTCCAGGACTTTTACTATCAGGATTTTTCATCCTTACTATCATTTGGAAGTGCCTACTCGTCAAGTCAGTTGCTGCTAAAGACTTATGAATTCTAGTTTGAGGAGCACATGCGAAGAACAGCCACCATAAGTCTTGATGAATCATTTGAGACTCGAAAAGATGGGCCTGATTGACGAGACTTGTTTATATATAAAACAATAAGTGAATCTACCTGTCAGCTAAAAAACGGCGAATTCCCCAGACAGGCCACATTTATTCCCGGGCTGGCCAGAGTTGGAGGTAATTCTCATCATTAGTCGAGAATTTACGTGTCTTATATTGCCCGGGAGAAGACATTCACGAGCGCCGTAATATGAAGCTGCCCGCACGTGTTTTTGTTTACGGTTAATCATCTGATATTAACAGGTCCCAGCTGAGGAGGTGCAGCTGATGCTGATGCGAGGCTGAGGTAGAGAGAGAGAAGCGAGCCTCACGGGGCTGTGCGGATAGCCAGTGCTGCATGTGTTCGGCTTTTGAGTTGTGCTTTAGTGGGTATAACATGTGTTGGATATCTGTGATTGTGGCATTTTCTGTTGTCTGTTTGTATTTTGGTTACATGTAGAATGTTCCGGGAATGATCGCCCCCGCGGCCAGGAGTCCCTGCTATTATTATATGTATTAAATTTAAGGAAAAGCCCTGAATCCACTGAGATAGTGTCTGGGGGAATGGGTGATAATCTGATTTCATCTATGGAAGGGAAGAACAACCCTACATGTTGACAGCCTGATTAGTCAGGCTGTTTTTGCTGTAAGCACCACAGCCCGGGTGATCAAGAACCTCCCTCAGCAACATGGTACTTTATTTTCAATTTGATGGGGCATTGCCCACACAAAAAAAGTTGACCCTGTCAGCTTATCGAATTATCTCTTAATGTACTTACCGCACATTTGCTTTTCATTCTGGTATTTTGTACTCGCTTCCAATTCTCACAAAGAATCATTTTAATGTACAGATTTAAAATTAGTATTTTCAGCATCTTCATGTATAAGAAAATGTATCTTATACCTGCGCTCCGTTGAGCACAATTTGAAGGGTTTTATATGTTCCCGGTAACTTAATGTGTTTGAATTTATACGATTATTATTATTATTATAACCAAAAAGAAGCGCTAAGCCACAAGGGCTACACAGCTGAATTTATACGAACTATGGTATTTCTTTGTACATTCTCCAGATCTGTAATTTCGCCAACCTTAAATGGAGCTGTCAGAATACAAGTGGCTTGAAAACTATAATCATTGGCTTGACATCTGTTGAGTTAAAGTGTCTTGTAGTAATAACACTAGTGTAACCCTTGAAAGGAGCACTTCTCGATACTGTTATCCCTGCGCTTTCAATTTCTTTACATTTTTTCCACAGTGTAGTATGAAAAAAAATTTCTATTCGTACAGTTTATTGTTTTATGTAACCCACTCCATGATTTTGTTTAAAACAAATTCTAGTATCTGTGAAGGATGTTACAGTGCAATGACTCATATATTTGACTGTCAGATATTAAAGGGAGTAACATACATGCCTAAAGGATTAGAGCTTTTCACTGTGTATTTATCTGATTTTACCTCGTAGACTTGTTTTTTTTTTTTAACTTCAACTGTTTGGAAATTCAAAATCTTTTCAGTGGGTATACACTTCAGTATGTGTTGTTGTGTCGTTGTATTGCGGTAGGTGTGTTCTGCAGTGAGGTTCTCATGTGATAAATTAGCAATTTATAACAATTCTTACGGTATTTCAGGTAGCAGGTTGGTAGTCGAAATGGAAACCTGGTAATTTTCTATCTTTTTTTTTTTTTTTTGCTCTTTTAACACGAGTACTAATCATTTCTTTCTGACCCAAGAGTACGTAAGATGACAGCTAAAACTTGCACACTTCTACTTGCATTCAGTATATACAACTTTTCTTTCCAATGTATTTCTTAATGTTCTTAATCATGTAATATTTCCTTTCCAACCAGGAGGCCTCGTCTAAGACCGGACCGTGAGGAAGATAATACCCAGAACCACTAACAGATACAGATTTACTTACAATGCGTGTTTGCTTACGTGTCTTTCTAAACCAAGTCAGGATATACATAAAGTGAAAATATACTCACAATAAGAAAGGTATACTTTGTAAAAAAGAGTGAGGTATACATATGAGTGAGGTATACATACAATAAGTGAAGGTATCTGTGCAATGAGTGACGCCATGAATGCAAGTAGTGAAGAATATATGTAATTTTTCTGCATAATACGAGAAAAGGTGCAACAGGAAAGCCTTCTCACTGGTGTGTCAACTATGTAAACTAAAATACACTAAATATATATTACCCTATATTAATGTAATCAAGTTCTGTCAAGCACCTTAACTACTGAGAACGCTTGGAAGCACTTGACTTGTACTCGTTGGAACACAGGAGGGAGAGATATATCATAATCTACACTTGGAAAATCGTGGAAGGAATGGTCCCAAATCTGCACACAGAAATCACTCCCTACGAAAGTAAAAGACTGGGCAGGCGATGCAAAATGCCCCCAATTAAAAGTAGGGGCGCCACTGGTACACTAAGAGAAAACACCATAAGTGTCCGGGGCCCAAGACTGTTCAACAGCCTTCCATCAAGCATTAGGGGAATTACCAATAAACCCCTGGCTGCCTTCAAGAGAGAGCTGGACAGATACCTAAAGTCAGTGCCGGATCAGCCGGGCTGTGGCTCATACGTTGGACTGCGTGCGGCCAGCAGTAACAGCCTGGTTGATCAGGCCCTGATCCATCGGGAGGCCTGGTCATGGACCGGGCCGCGGGGGCGTTGATCCCCGGAATAACCTCCAGGTAACCAGGTATGTCTGTCAGTATTTCGCATTGGCAATACCCAAAAGTAGAGTCAGTTAAATGTACGAAATGCTTCAGGGAAAAAAATATTAATTATATCAGTAACATATATTAAGAGTTATTAAATTTGCTTAAACCTTGAAACATAAAAGAAAAACTTAAAAAAGAATTCATATATATATATATATATATATATATATATATATATATATATATATATATATATATATATATATATATATATATATATATATATATACATATATATTATGCGCCACTGTGTTTTATATATAAAAAACAATCAGATATAACAAAATTGGGAATTATGTCAGTCAATTGTATCGCCAGAATCCCTCCGTCAATAAATTATTTAGGGTCAAACAAAATATATAAGCCGAAATTAGCGGATCACTCTCACATGCCAGCAAATGCTTTATCAAAAATGCATCAGGCACATTAAATATTTTTTTGTCAATTATTTGGTAGTAACACAGGTTGGTGTTGTTGTACCAAAAATATGGGCAAGGTGGTAGGGAAGGGAGGGAGGGAGGGTAAGAGAGAGAGAGAGAGAGAGAGAGAGAGAGAGAGAGAGAGAGAGAGAGAGAAGAGAGAGAGAGAGAGAGAGAGAGAGAGAGAGAGAGAGAGAGACAAGAGAGAGAGAGAGAGAGAGAGAGAGAGAGAGAGAGAGAGAGAGAGAGAGAGAGAGAGAGAGAGAGAGAGAGAGAGAGAGAGAGACAGAGAGAGAGAGAGAGAGAGAGAGAGAGAGACAGAGAGAGAGACAGACAGACAGACAGAGGAGAGACAGATGAGAGAGACAGAGGAGACAGAGAGAGAGAGAGATAGACAGAGAGAACGAGAAAAAAGATGTGGAGAGGAAGGAGGAGTGTATACTAAACGCGAGGAGGAGGAAAACATAAGGGGGAAAAAATAGAGTGAGAACAGAAAAAGGTAGAGCGATAGATTTCTTGTAAACAAGAAATCTAGAGCAGTGATTGTAAGACATAGCAAATGCAGTTCTATCAGTGCCACACCACCAGTAATATTAGTGCCATTCCACGAGTGTCACTAGTGCCACACCAACAGTAACATCAGTGCCACACCGCCAGTGTCATCAATGCCATACTATCAGTGCCACACCGCCAGCAATCATTTCAGCATTGTGTCAGCGTAATGCCCTTGCAAGCCACAAGGATATCTCAGTCAAGGAGAAGTTCATTTGCATAGTGTATCACATATTCCACTATCTGTGTAGTGCACTGAAGACGACCAACATCATGTTGCAGTCCCTCCTCTGTGACGGTATTAATGAGGGAGGGAGGGAGGGAGGGAGGGAGGGAGGGGAGGGAGAGGGAGAGGGAGAGGGAGAGGGAGAGGGAGAGGAGAGAGAGAGAGAGAGAGAGAGAGAGAGAGAGAGAGAGAGAGAGAGAGAGAGAGAGAGAGAGAGAGAGAGAGAGAGAGAGAGAGAGAGAGGGTGGTTAAGGTGTGAAGGATAAAAGAGAAAAAGGGAATCCTTAAAATTACCTAACTGAACTTCGGGGAGAACAGGAGAGAAAGTTATACGTGAAAAATACTAGAGCGACCGATTCCAAATATGCACACTGAAATAAGTGCTCACGAAAAAGGAAGCCACGGTAACGGGACAAAATTCCCTTAATGAAAAGCAGAGGTGTAATAATTACACTAAGGGCTGACTCAATATCCGTAAAGAATTCAAGGGTTTTCAACACACTTCCTTCAAGAGAAAAAATAATACACTATCAATCCTCTTTAAGAAGGAACTTGGCACGTTCCTCCAGGCAGATCCTAATCAGCCTGACGGTGATACTAAGTTAGACTACATGCAGAGAGCAACAACACCCTGACTGATCAGACCATTATGCAGGAGGCATGGTCTGGAACCCAGCAAAAAGGGGGCATAATTCCCGCAACCATAACTAAGAAAAAAATGGGAGAATCGAGATTGTCAGTCTTTATTTCTACGTATGTCTTTCTCTGTTTTTGTCTGTGTCTGTGCAAGCATACATCCGTGACTCTCTTCATCTATGTCTGTGCAAGTATACATCCGCGTCTGAGGAATTCAACACATGTGCAATATCTGGTTATCTTCATTTAAAGACGTTTCACCAACCAGTGGCTTTTTCAATATACGAAGACAGAAGATGAGGTCAGTCCTTAAGTCTTGAGGAACTATGAACCACAAACAGTAGAAAATGCGGTAATCAGTCCCTCAACCTAGAAGCCAGTGTTCTCTACCTTAGTCTTGATGAATCTGAAGACTAAGAAGGAAGGTAGACACTCATATACTGGACTCAGATGAGGTGCAGCAGACACAGGAGGGCAAGACCCATTAGTGGAAGTAGGCCATGCTAAAGAGTAGGGGCGGAGCTTAGCAAACAGGTTGTATGATATTCTTTGTACTAAATTGTGTTGCTGTGTCAAACATGTGTTATTACAATAATGGAATACAATACCTTGTCGGTATTTTATACCTTTAATGTAATGAAACATCCGTGTCTCAACATCTGAGTCTGTGCAAGAGCACATCCTTGTCTGTATCTTCAGCACTATCATGTCTATTCATGAAACTGTGTATGGAATTCACTTCCACCTTTCCTCATCTAACTCATTCAACGTTCCCACTACCTTGAGGTGGAAAAAGCACATCCCGATGTCTCTGTGACCTGTCTGTGTCTTAACGTTCAAATGTCACCTGTTCCTCGCCTGTCACACAGTCTGTCAATACTTATCTTGTGCATTGCACTTGTTTTTTCAACTCTTAAAACGGACTCAGTTTATCCAATCTCTCCTCCTCGGCTGCAGGAATAGTATTACTGTTTTTTTCCTCATAGTTCTATACATGAATGATCTGGTGTGCGCTTCATACCGGTACAGTATACTCAATGACTGGCCTTGGTTCATATTCATGAATAAATTTCTCAGGTACACTATTCTCTACGATGATTTGTACCTCAGCGCGATTATTATTATTATTATTATTATATTATGGGGAAGCGCTAAGCCCATGCGGGTCATACAGCGCTTAGCAATAGGAGATAATCAGGGTTAATTCATGAAAGAGTGTAGGCCTGAATCTTTGCATCAAGAGCCTTTCATTATTATCATCCTCAAGGTAACCCTCCTTCAAGAGGGTTACCTTGAGTGATATTAACCCAAATTCCTCCTCCTTGTCCACTTTGTCTTCCTTCCATATGTACGTGATTACCTATCTGTAGTTACAGGAGCAGAGCAATGCTCGTGGTGTCCTGTCTTCATTAATATCATCTGAATCTCCCCTCAACAGGATACGACCCACACCAGTCGACCAATTTATTGCTAAGTGAACAGGGGCAGTAGGTGTAGGAGACTTGAGTAAAGGTAATCATCGAAGCACGGAATCGAACCAGGGACGTTAGTTACCTGGCTGGTGTGTGTGTGTGTGTGTGTGTGTGTGTTCCATTATTCCCTCGAACCATTTATCGTCTCCTAATCCTCCTCCCGTCCATCTCTCCCACACTTCCTCCTTCCTTCTGTCCCCGTCTCCTCTCTCATTAATACCTCAGACATCAAGAATTGTGTTGATGTCGTATATCCTCAATAGACGACGAGGATAAAGGAGTAAACAATGCAATATGCAAATGGACTTTCCCTTGGCAAAGACCTCCTTTTGGCTGCCTCAGCCATTACGCTGACATAATGTTGCGATGATTATTTGTAGTGTACCATGCACGGCATGCTGTTTCCAAGCACTGTGTGTTGTTGCCTCGCCAAACACTGTATGCTGTTTCCAAACATTATGTGTTGCCACCTCGCCAAACACTGCGCTGTTTCCATGCCACACAGGGTGTGCTGTTTCCTTGTCAAGTATTGTGTGCTGTATTCTCGCCATACACAGAGTGCTGTTGCCTTGCGAAGCACTGTGTGCTGTTTCCGTGTTTCTCTCTCTCTCTCTCTCTCTCTCTGCTTTCATTCATTCGTTTCTGCATATTCCTCGTTTAAACCTTCGCATACATTTTCCACCCTTCCTTCATTCTCACACCCTCCCTTTCTCTTTTCCTGCCTTTCTACCTTTTGTTTATTACGTCCCCCATGTCTAGTCTGCTTCCCCCATCCCTTCTTCCCACTTTCCCTCCATTCTCACTCTTCCCTTTTCCCTTCCGTCCTCCCTTCTCCAAATTTGCAACAGAATAACGTGTTGATATGACAATTCTGTACGCAACCAGTCAAGGATATTTCAATTCCCAAAACAGGAATTAAAGCAGACTTTCAGCATATTTAAAGTGAGACATGCGTCTCTCGTGTATATAACCTGTTTAATTAACTTAATATCAATTCACATCAAATGCTGTGGTTTCTGTCATTGCAAATGATATGCGAAGAATTTTTTATTGAAGTTTAGAAATATTCATATATATTTCCTACTGCCTCTCTCACTATACGCACTATACGAAAAAATATAAGACTGTGGTGTGTAGGTCTAGAAAAATATGTTGCATTGTTTAAAACTTTTCCACATTTGAAACAACTAAAATTATAAATTTAAGGCGAAAGTGCAAATTGTTATAATTTCTTGTACAAAAATTCACGTAATGACATGATACAGAGGAACTATATATTCAGTGAAACCTGAGCCTGGTTGAAACGAAGATGCACATGTTCAGGATACCAATGACGGTATCAATGTTTTGCGACACCACTAGGTAGTGATCCACTGCTTTTAGTCGGGGTGCAAAACCCAGCTGGTGTAAACCAGCGGATAATTAATCAATTACGGGTCGATATTTGGCAAAGACCCGCGGCACAAGATACAATGTTTTTGACAAATAAACTACCACTGCCACCACCTCCAAAAACAATCACAGCCACCACCATCGCCAGTGCCACCTACACCGCCACCACCTCCACCTGGCTCAGACGCTTTATTCATCGTTTAATGACAGGCTCAGCACTTGACAACCCTGTTGGCAATCGCCACAAGTGGCGAATTAGCTCTGAAAGTGTGGCGAATATAAGTTTCCCATATTTTGGCTCAAGTAAAATATAACTAGACTTTTTCCTGACAGGATTGGAAATATTTAGGTCAATTTAGAGGCGGAGGAGCTGAGATGTGCACTGAGCTCGGGTATTCAGCCAACATTTTTGCAACTTGTCAGACGAAAGAACAGCCAAATGTCGCATTAAATTTTCTCATATTTCTTTTAATCTAGACAAATATTTTTTTTTTTTTGGCGCCTAAGGCAGTTGTAAGTAAATAGCAAAAATTTGCATGTTCTGAATATTTTTTTAAACTATTTTTTTTTTCAACAGGACAACCCAATTTCCCAGTTTTTGCATAGTGTGGCGAATTTCATTTCTCATTCGCCAAATCAGAGGCTACATTTAAAAATAAGTTGTCCACCCGTTATGTAAGGTGTGCTTAAAAAAATCACATAACACGCTTCTTGTATTAATATTGGTAAAATTACCGACAATGTGTTAAGTACAAGGACACAAATGCAACTAATGTGACATTTTATTATGGTAACGTTTTCCTCTCCAAGAACTTTATCAAGATGTTATGTAACGGCTTGACAAAGCTCCTGGAGAGCGAAACGTTGCCACAATGTCACATTAGTTGCATTTATGTCCTTTTACTTAACACGCTTCGTAGTGATAATTTAAAAATTTGTTTGTATTTCTTCCATATGTTATGGTTCCCAGCAGGAACATGCTAGAACACTGGTTTAGAAAGACACGTAAGCAAACATAGAACGTATTAGAAAAAGTTTCGGTCCTGGGCCCTGGATCACCTCTCCCAGGTCCCAGGACCGAAACGTTTTCTAATAAATATGTCCAAGTTTTTGCTTACGTGTCCTTCTAAACTACCTTGTCGGTATTTATTACCAAGGTTTACACTATGTTGGAATACTGTATTATGTTCACCTGGAACAACACCTGCGAGACACCATCAGCGCTGTTAATGTTCCTGTGGAAATGTAGGTGTGTTGTTAGCCTGCCTGTCAGGTACACTGAGCCTGCCCACAATATATCCTTCTGTATTATATTTAATAACTTCCTAACATATCTGGCATTTTTTCTATCTGCCTGAGTATTTATCTGTTGTTTGTCTGTATGAAGTGAAAACAGAGACGATTTTTTAGTAACAAGAAAAAGCAGCGAACGAGCTTCATGACCAACTAAGTATATTTATACACTACAGGAAGGTTAGCATATGCACCACTGTGACCACAAATGCAAGTTTTTACAGACGAATCTCCAGCTAGCGTGGCCGTGACGAACTCTAGCTCAAGTCCCCTCAAAGCCGTCAACATAACTTGAGCTAGAGTTCGTCACGGCCACGATAGCTGGAGATTCGTCTGTAAAAACTTGCATTTGTGGTCACAGTGGTGCTTATGCTAACCTTCCTATGGTGTATAAATATACTTAGTTGGATGAATCTTATTGTGGCTAGCTGGTCCAGTGGCTAACGCGACGGTCTGGAGTTTTGAGATTCTGATCGCATGTTCTAACCCCGTCCATGGTATGGTTTTTATCATGACCACAGATCTGGTAGTCGACGTAAGATTAATGAGAAAAAGTAATAAGGAGAAATGGGAAGAACCAAAAAGAAGACGATGATAGAAGGAGAGGAAAAAGAAAGGAAAATAGAAAATAATGAAGTAAGAACATAAGAAAGGAGAAACACTACAGTAGGCCTACCGGCCCATAACAGGCAGATCGTTTTCAAACCCAAACCCTCTAATAATTCTTTTTTCTAAACCCATTCTCAATGCTACCCAAGGAATGTCCTTGGATAACCCTGCTAACTCATGTTATAAAAGTCTCACTCAAATACAACCTTTCTCATTCATGTGTTTATCCAACTTATATTTGAAGCTACCCAAAATTTTCGCTTCAATGACCCTACTGAGCAGATTGTTCCACTCATCGACTACTCTCTTTCCAAACCAGCACTTTCCTTCATCCTTTCTAAACCTGTATGACACTCTGGTTTAGAAAAACACGCAAGCAAACACAAGAACATATTTATTAAAAAACGTTTCTGTCCTGAAACCTTGAACACTTCTAACATACGGAGGTTGAAAGACAGTATATATAGGCGGAGAGTGAGGTGTGAGTGACTCATGGTGACCTGAAGAATGCCATATTGGGACGAGGACGGGTAGACTGAAATTATGCTGGGCAGATGGTGCTTTGCCTGGTTGAGTATCATGTTTTAGAAATTTTGTGGTTTCCAGTGTTATGTTCTACTGTGTCGGTGACGGCTATTAGAAGCCTCGCTAATCGCCGTCACAGACGCAATAGAACGTAACACTGGAAACCACAAAATTTCTAAAACATTAGCATACATGATACTCAACCAGGCTAAGCACCACCAACCCAGCAACACAGGAGTCACATGATCTCATCGTCTACCCGTCCTCATCCCAATA